AAATTACATTTATAAAAGTAACGGGTATGCGCTGTGGAAAATGTGTGTAAAAAAGGGAAGTGAGAAGAGATCAGCCATTCGTGCCCCACGACGGAGAGGGATCAGCATCAGTGGTTCTTAAGTGTATTCCTTTAAAGCTTACGTACGCGTATGTACTTTAGCCTCATTTTTTGGTTTAACTTTACACCGTAAGCAAAACAAATTTTTTAAGTGATCTCTGTGCTCACCGTGGGGCTTGACCTCACGACCTGAGAACAAGAGTCTCACATTCCTCTGAGCCAGCTGGCCCCCGCCCCAAAACAAGTTCTTAATGTGTCATAACGTCTTCGTTTCCTTTTTATTAGGAATGTGTGTATAGTTTTTCATTTTTTAAAACCACGCACTTAACAAATCTGCAGTAATCCCAAAGTGAGCGGTGGGGGGAATACGTGATCTTAGAGACTGTGCCCTCGGGAGGAATAAGAAGAGGGGAGAGAGGAAACAGGTGAAAGCGTGAAATCTGTGTGATTCGGGGCCTGGTCCACATCCTCCAGTTCACACTTGAGCTGGGCCGTGGCGCCGGGTCCTCTTCCTCTTCCGTGGGTCTGGATCACTTAGCGCTCGCTGCAGACATCTGAGGTGCTGGAGGGGACTCTCCGTATGGTGTCCGCGAGTCCCTGCCGGCCAGCTGCTGAACAGACTGAAACGTGTGCGGTTGACAGTCCCTGTTCTCGTCTGCATTGAACTACCAAGGTTTTTTGTTTTTTTTTTTTTACCAATTAAAATTCAACTTGGATTTTACCAGCCGTTAAGGAAAGGTAGTTTTCTGTGTGCAACTTAATTTCTTCAGAAGCGGTAATGACAAGGGAACATTTCTAAAGGCCCGTGTTTCGAGTGCAGGCCTATAACGCAAAGACGGTCGTGCCCTCCGGTCTGGCACGGCCGGGCGCTAAGGCTGGCCCTAACTAGGCAGGTGCTCCAGAACACATCCGACCCTTTCTGAGACGATTGCACGGATTTCCTGTCCTTCACTCATTTCCTTGATTCCCCTGGCCCTCCGCGCTGCCCTGCTGGGCGCCTGGTGTGGCCTGTATGCAACATGTCCCTTTGTGGCTGTCGGTCTTCGGCGGGTTCATGTGTCCGTGTGTAACTGATACTGTTTTTAAATTTATTTGAGAGAGAGAGCGTACAAGAGGGAGAGGGGCAGAGGGAGACAGGATCCCAAGCAGGCTCCACGCTGACAGCACAGAGCCGGACACAGGGCCCAAAGCCACGAACTGTGAGATCGTGACCTGAGCCGAAATCAAGAGTCGGACACTTGACCAAATGGCTCCCCCACGCCCCCCCCCCACGTGCGCACGCGCGCTCACGCACACACACACACACACACACTGAGGTGTTCCTGTGTGTGTAACTGATTTCTAAAACCGTGTGTAAGAGGTTTTAGGAGAAAGGCCCAGACCGTGGAGTCCGGAATGCTGTGGGCAGACAGCCCAGCCCGTGGGCGTGGTGTGCACGGGAAGGTCCTCCAGCGCGTTTGCCTCGTGTCCCCCCAGGACCCCGCTGCACTGCGCGGCCTCTTGCAACAACGTGCAGGTGTGTAAGTTCCTGGTGGAGTCTGGAGCCGCCGTGTTCGCCACCACCTACAGCGACACGCAGACCGCCGCCGACAAGTGCGAGGAGGTGGAGGAGGGCTACGCCCAGTGCTCACAGTTCCTTTACGGTTCGCAACTGCTGGCTCGAGTGTGGGGTTACTGCCTCTCTTTGCCCGGAGTTTCTAGGGTGCAGTTGCCAAGTAGCTTTAGCATCCGGGGAAATGTTTGTGTGTCGTGCGCGGTCCTGGCCGCTGAGCACAGGGCGGCCTCGGAGGGACGGATGCGGCTGGCTTCTGTGCTTGCTCCAGTGGGGACGGCGTGAGCCAACCCCACGATGGGGCGGTTTGACCCTGCAGGGGCCTCTCCCGAGACTCAGAGAAGGGAGGCTCTGGGTGTGGGCCCGGTGGCCCAGGCGTGTCCGCGCAGTCGGACGCGGGGGCTCCGTGCCTGGGGCACCGGGGGCGGGACGTGTCGGGGGGGCGGGGAGTGCATCGGGCGTCGGGCCCTGATCCGCTGGCTCCCCCGTGGTTTCAGGAGTGCAGGAGAAGATGGGCATCATGAACAAAGGGGTCCTGTACGCGCTGTGGGACTACGAGCCTCAGCACGGCGACGAGCTGCCTCTGCGAGAGGGGGACTGCCTGGCCGTGCTGCGGCGGGAGGACGAGGAGGAGACCGAGTGGTGGTGGGCGCGCCTGCAGGACCAGGAGGGCTACGTGCCCCGCAACTTGCTGGGGGTAAGTGTGTCCTCTGTCCGCGCGACGGTGAATCCTAACGTTTGGACAGTGGCGGGTTCACACGTCCAGCCACATTTTCCGTGTTGGCGAGCCACCGGGCACGGTCAGGGTCCCGTGCTCTCGGAGGTCCTGCGCTCTCACGGGACCTGGGGCTGGACCGGGGAGGGCACTGTGGGCGGGAGTCACCTTCTGTCCTGGATTTAGGTGGAGGGGGCTCTCGGGAGCGTTTGCAGCGAGGAGGCCGGGAGAGCGGGCAGGAGAAGGGAGGGGGCATAGCGCTTTCCAGACGCCGCATTGCCGACCTGAGTGCCGTGGGCGCCAGGGCGGGACAGATAACGGAGAGCGAGGAGAGGACCGACGTGGGAAGGTGGAAGAGCCCGGCCGGGGAGGTGACGACGGTCAGCAGCGCGGCTCCGCGCAGTCCCCCTGCACCTGGGCGTGGCGGGAGGGACCGGAGGGCACCACCTCCTGAGATTGTTGAGGGCGTCTGATGGGCAGCGAGGGGGAGAGGTTTTTACGGGGGTTTTCATCAGGTCGGACCCACGCGGCTGAGCGGCACGGAGCCGCTCCGGTGTCTGGGTCTCTAGCGAGGGCCCGGGGTGCGAGCGCTCCGCTGCCCCGTGTTACTCCGCCGAGTGACCGTGGTGTCGAAACCTGGCTGCCTGGATTCCGACCCGCGCCCCCTCCTGACCCTTCTTGTCCGCTCCCGTGTCTCGTGTGCCGTGTGGGTGACCTCGTGTGTCCCGACTGCTGCCCCTGCTCACAACGTTTATCATTAAGTAAACCTTTGAGCCTGGATCATATTCACACATGTGATTCTGATGTAAATTACAAAGAATTGATGAAAGTTAAAAGTAAATTTGGCCACGGAGCCCTTTATTTATTTTAATTTTTTTTGAGACAGAGACTGAGCGTGAGTGGGGGAGGGGCAGAGAGAGGGGGAGACCCAGAATCCGGAGCCGGCTCCAGGCTCCGAGCTGTTAGCACCGACCCTTATGTGGGGCTCAAACTCCCAGACCGTGAGATCATGACCTGAGTCTAAGTCAGATGCTTACCTGAGGTGCCCGGGCCACGGAGCCCTTTAGACGAGCTTTCCAGTGACCCGACCAGAGTTCTGTCCAGCCCGACGGAGTCTCTGCAGCCTCCTCCCTGCCGAACGTGAGCAGCAAATACTAGTTCTACCTTTTGACGTTTCCTGCTTCTGAAAACCTCTCGGAGCTAGTTGCTTATTGGAATCTTTGTTGTGATTTTCCAAGCGGTCCCGTGACTCCTGAACAGAGGAGGCCGCGTGGCCCAGGTGCTCGGCCCTCGGGAGGCCCGCGTCAGGCTGGGTCGGAGACGTTCGTGTTCACCCCAGCCTTTTGGAGGTCTCCCCGGGGTAGAAGTTGCCTCTAAGTAACGTTTTTTTGGTTTCCTTTGAGTTTAAAAGAAAAAAGGAACTCACGTGAATGTTGAGTTTTTAATCAGAGGTTCAAATTTGAGTCTAGAAAATTGTATTGACCGGTTGTTTTCTCGGAAAAATCATCTTTTGTGTGGTGTTGATCACCCGTTTTTCAGTTTTGGCTGGAGTCTGGCTCCACTTTCTTTCAGCAAACCCTTTTTCCCGTTGTGTAGGCGGGAGGAGGGGGTTGTTTACTGCGCCAGCTGGATGACTCGTTGGACTCACCCGTGGCTTCAGGACCTTCCATTCTTCTCTCCGGCTCTTGTTCTAGAAAACACAAAACCACAAAAATCCCCCTGCAGAAACCTCCACTTATCCTCCCTGAAATCGGCAGACTTTTAGTCTGTGGCATCCTGTCGCTCAGTCTCCTGTCACGGAGTCGGGTCTGTTGTCAGTGAGGTTACAGGAGACCCTGATCTGTCCCGTCCGCTCGGGAAGCTGCAGGTCGCGCGGGTGGGGCCGGCGCTCAGCACCACCTGCATTTTTACGTGGGACCCCCTGTGACTTTGCAGGGGAGGTGCCGAGTGTGAATCTTGTGTCCTGGGGCGGCGCTGGGTGCCTCACGTGCAGAAAGAGTCCTTTTCTTCGTTTCTTGCCGGTGACACCAGACCCCCATACTCGAGGTTTTGTCTCTGCAGCATGTAAATCATTTCTCCGTTCTCTTGCAGCTGTACCCCAGAATTAAACCCAGACAAAGGAGCTTGGCCTGAAACTACGGAGTTTTAGTTTCTGAAGAACTCATCTGTTATCAGTAAGGAGAAGTGACGTGATTGTTTGTGGCAAACATTTCACAAGACTGCTGACGACATCACTGGAAGGCATCTGGAATGGGCTCTGGAGGGAGGTGAAGGATCTGGGGAGTTGGCTCTCCGAGGGGGACCTCGGCGTGATAAACTGGCCGTGCTGTGCTGGGGAAGCATGTTCCGCGGAGCAGAGGACAGACAGTGACGTCCTGTTTGAGAGAGAAGTGGGGCCGCTCCGTGGGCTCCGTGTCCCACCTGCTCGCTGTTGGTCGGCGCGTCCCCTGCACCCGCCCCACCGGGAAGGACCAGAGCCGTGGAGGCGGCCCCAGGACCTTGGGACACAGGCCACACGCTCAGAACCACGTGTTGGCGGGTGTGGGCGGCCCTTCGTGTAGGAGTTTGTAGCGTCTTCGGAGTCACGTGTGGAAGGAATCCTGGGACCGAGCCACAGCACAGCTACCTGAATGTGGAATCTGGTTTTTAGGGGGATTTGAATCTATATTTATTGTCTTTTGTATCCTGGAAATTGGAGACTCGCTATATAGACTTAACCATGAAATTTATCAAGATCGTTGCTGACTTTAAAAAACAATTGTAATAAAATTAAACTTTTTGACTCTAAGCTTTTTACTGGTTTCTGTTCTTTGTGTCACGAAAAGCCTTGTTGAAGCTCCCACGCTGTTGGGAGAGTAGCGGTTTCTTCCCCGGCCGTGTGGCTGCGGTGAGGAGTGAGGTTCTTACAGACGGCTGGGTTTTGAAATTGGTGAGCTCTGCGGTGGCCCTGATCGGGAGCCACGGGGACAGCCGGTGGCCCTGTCCCCACGCCTCTGCGAGAGGAAGGGTCTGGTGTTCATGGTGCCGTCTGCAGGGATTCATTGGACAAGAACTCAGACTGAGTCTGCATTGTTTGTGATCCGTTACCTGGTTTGTGAGTCGTTTCGGAGCCCATGGCTCCGTGTGGCGGGGTCACCGAGTAGGAGCCACGCGGGAAGGAACGGCCGTGCGAAATCCCGGCATGTTTGTGGGCAGCTCAATTCCAGCAAGAAGGCGGGGAAAGAGCCAACAGGCCACGCTCTGCAGGTAGCAGAGAAGGCGGTGACCCCGAGGGCTGGACACCAGAGGACCACCCTGCTGCTGCCCCCCGCCTGGCAGGGTTTGGAGGTGGGGCTCACGTGAGGTCACCAGGTTAAGTTCGCCCTCCCTAAGGCATTTGCGTCCTTGGAGGAGGAAGGGACCACCTCCCCTCCCCACATGAGATCACCACGAGGGGGCGGCCACACGCATGCCACGAAGGGTCCCGCACCCCGGCCTCGGACCCCCCAGCTCCCCAGAACAGTGAGGGGGTATGGGGTGGTACCCCGGTGTGCGCTGCGGTAACGGGACGGCATGGATCGCTGACCTTGGACAGAGTGGCTTCCCCAGGGGCTGCCGCTGGGTCTGGCTGCAAGGAGGGGGGGGTGCTGGTCCTGGAGCCGCGGGGGGATCCCCGCTAGGGGACAGTTTTAAGTGATCTCCACGACCCCAAGATCACCTGCTGCGCCGGGCCCCCGGGGATGGGTGATTTTAAGTGCATAAAGCGACAGGAAGCGAGCGCGACACCTGGGTTGGTGGATCCTGGCCACCAAGCAACCGTGACCCGGCCGTGCCCTCCACAGCGGCCTCTGCGTGCACCTGCTGGTGAACCGTGATCATCCATTGTCCCCTCAGCCCTATACCCACGACGTGTTTTCTCTTTTGGTTTTTACTTGTTTACGTCTTACCCGAGGTCTGCGTGGGAAGGTTCGCAGGTACAGAGAAGGGTCTGGGGTCGGGGGGGGCGCAGACGCTTCTGGTCTGGCTGTGGTGTCTGTCGTGCTGTGGGCGCGGGGCTGCCACGGGAAGGACCCCAGGGTCGGACGCGGAGGCCCCGTGAGGCATCTTCACAGCCGCAGTTTAGGTTTTTGTAGAAGGAACAGGGCAGCTGGGCGGCGGGCCCCGCGGAAGTGGGGCTTTTAAAGGGGGCGGGGGCACGTCTACCTTCTCCCCGTGAGGGAGGCGATGACCAGCGCTCCCCTGTTGGGGGACCCAGATGCTTGGTCATCGTCTCCAGTCCTTTTCTAAATGGGATGGGCTAAGCGGAGCGTAGCCCTTGGCTGTTTCGTGTCTCTGTTTCCTCTGCTGTGACGACGAACCAGGGAGCAGGGCAGGTGGTGGCGAGCCGGGGGCCTTGCGGGCGGCCCCCGGCACAGAAGCGATTTGTGGGCCTCTGCGACCTGGGAAGGCGCCTTCCTCCCCTTCCTGTGTGCCCGGCCCCCACTGGACGAGGCTGGGAGATGCGCTTGCTGGCCCGGCCCGGCCCGTCGTCACACACCTCTCCTGGGTCGTAGGGCTCCCGCAGGGGCACCACCGGCAGGCCCGTGACTGACGCGCCTGTCCTGTCTGCCTCTCTCGTCCCCACACCCGAAGGACCTGCCTGGGCCTCCTCGGGGGAGGCCAGGGGCAGCAGAGGAGAGCCGGACCTACTTTGTGGACACTTGAGAGCCTCTGAATTGGATTAAGAAACTGCGTAGTTCCAAGCTGCCTTTAACTCTCAAGAGGGGGAACGAGAGGTGACCTTGGAGCGGGAACAGGCCGAGACCCGGGCGCACCGCCCGCCGCGGGGCCCCCGAAGGACAGCACGGCACGCCGGACCGCTTGGGTCACTCTTTATTAACAGCACGTTCAGCAGGAAGTAAGGCAACAAGGCGGTAGGTGTGTAAGGCGGCTCGCGTCTTCCGGGGTGAAGCAGGGCTCAAGCTCTCCCACCCGTGTCCCTCCCGGCTCCACGCACAAGCGCGGGGGTGCCGACGTCCCGGCCACGAACGGCTCGTCCTGTCCTTTCCCGTAATCGGCTCGGACGCCAGGCACCTGCTTTCGCGCACGCTTCGGTTAGCGGGCCGAGGGCCGCGTGGCTTCAGCATCTTCTGCGACACACGGGTCACCGGGCCGTTCTACATAAAACCTGGCTCTCTCTGCAACCACGTGATGGAGGTGTGCGTGCTGGCCCGGCCTGTCACTCTGCGATGCTTCCTGTTTTCCGTTTCGCTCCAGGGACGCGCGCTGCTGTTTGGCAAATGCCACAGCCGCATTGTTAATCGGGAATTTACTTTCAATGTTCCCAGCAAGGACCTCGTGTCCTTGGAGACTGACTTCGTGTTTGGTCAGCGGTTAAAAATACCTCCCTGTGTTTTTCTCCAATTGGATATTGCCATAAACGGGCAAGTGGGTAAAAGTAAACCGTGGACCTGTTTATAGATGGAAGGTTTTCTCTGAGCTAACCCAGGATGGAGTGAGTCACCTGCATGTAATACCAGGATACGCAGATCTTTTTTACTGTGAGACGTGAGACCTGTCTCAGAAAGTATCTTTATTTTCAGCTCTAGCCATTCATCGGTTAGGTAAATGTTCCCGTCATTTTGGGGTCCAGATAAAAAGTTTCTCTGTGGGGGCTTCGTCCTCGGCTGGCTGTCCTCAGGCAGATCAGTTAGGACTTCAGAGGACTGAAAAGCAGAGCCACTGTGAGGAGGAAGACAGCCGGTCAGCTCAGACACCTTGTGCAGAACTAACGGTCATTCTGGAAGAACGACTTGGAGCAGACAGGGATCGGGGCACAGACTCGCGGGTTCTCCTCCCCACTTCTACAGCCTGGCCCGGCCCAGGTCAGGGGCACGACCCGGCTCACAGGCCGACGGCCACGAGACAGACCGGACCACGCGGCATTTCCTGCCGCCCCCTCCAGGTCGGGTGAACATTATTAGTTCGGCTGTCCCCGAAACCAGTGCTTTTGACCTCGGTCAAGTGGGGGTCAAGTGGGGGCTCTGGGTCACGCTCTGCTCCAGTCGGTCCGGGACCCGGGCCCGGGGCCCCGGCTTCTGCAAAGCTGCCCTTGGTGCATCGTGCAGCCGGGGCCGAGACTGAGACTGCAGCCTCGTTCTAGAAGTTACCTAGTGTCATCGTAGCCAGCTAAAATGTACTCTCAGTTGGCTGAAGGTCCTTTATAATGCATCATAGCAGGTGCAAAGCTACTTCATTCTGGCTTCCCCCAGGTCAGAGTTCAAGGACAGGAGTCCCTAGTCCCTTACACCTGTCCCCTTGTCACTTTGCTCCTGGCTGGAGCATGGGACCGTGTCATTCCCCTGGGCACCGGCCCCTGACCGGCCCTCGCCAGCCTGTGCTGCTCCGAGCTCAGCTCCCCTGACCGCAAACGTGAGGCCACGACCGGGAGGGCGTGCCCTTCCTCCTGGAGGGGAGAACGTTCTGGCACCAGGGTGACAGGACATTTTGCACTTGGCTTTTCACGGGACCTGTCAGCCCGCTGCATGGGGACTGACGGTCCCCTGGGCCTTGCTGGGGCTCCGGACCAGGAGCTCGGCAACTCTCTACGGCAAGTTTATGTATTTTCGATGGAATTTTTAACCGGGGCGGGGGGTCGGGGAATAAGGTGATCTGCCCAGGAAGTATTTTAAGTAGATCTGGTCGAAGAAGGACACATCTTCCCCAAACCCACTTGAATTTCATGCAGGAGAATTTTCTTACGTGACCACCATCTCTCGTTCACGTGAACAAGCACTTCGTTTTCCCGCGTGTGCACTTGGCAAATTGCGTGGGAGGAGGAACCGGGAGTGTCTCCCGGGGCCCGAGGGTCGGCGGGGGGGTGCGGGGAAGGGTGTGCACGTTTGTGGTGGGACCTCACACCCGTTCACGGGCCCGCCTCCCACGGCCACGACACTTGCAAGGTGGAGCTTTTTAAGCCAACAGCCACGGGTCCCTGTCCCGCCCCCCCCCCCCCCCCACCCGTGACAGCTCCCGGTGCCTTGTGAGCGGCTGACTTACAGAGATGAGGTCGAGCTCGATGGTCCCAGTGTTCTCGGGATCCAGCTGCTTAAATATCCCTGAGGGAGGGGAGTGGGGGTGGGGGTGGGAGGAGGGCCACCGGTGAGCACTCCTCCTCCCCCTCCTCCTCCCTCCTCCTCCCCTCTTCCCCCTCCTGCTCCTCTCTCCTCCTCCCCTCTTCCTCCTCCTCCTCCTCCCTCCTCCTCTCTCTTCACTCCTCTTCCCCTCCTCCTCCCTCCTCCTCCTCTTCCCCCTCCTCCTCCTCCCTCCTCCTCCCCTCTTCCTCCTCCTCC